TCTTCACGACATGGCGGCAGCAACAATACTACAACAAGAATAAAAGTTACGCTTTCTTTCTTTGCGTGAACATTTGGGCGGTGTTATGCAAATCTTCCCACATAGTGAGGTAGATATGTGGGGGCGTGTTCGAACGAGCCGTTTTAGGTAGGTGTGGCTAACTCTTAACTTTTATAAAGAATATCTCTTTGGATTTGAGACTTTAGTCTTTGCAACTTTACAGATCTTCTTTATGCACCAAGAGCTTGTAACACTCTAAAGAGAAAGGAAAAAATGAAATCGCATCATATGACCCCTTTAAATGAAAATAACCTTTTAATTACCCTCACAAAATCAATGCTGTGACACGCATAAAGCTCGGCCAGCTTAGCTTTCACAAACAGGAAGAGATTTTACCATAATGCTAAGCCTTCAGAAAGGCCCTTAACTTGAGTTATAGCTCAAAGCCCAAGCACATGATTCTCTCCACATCAAACTATCCATTGCTGCTCGGCCAATCCCTCGTGTAGCCCAAAGCTCCGACCCCGATTCACTGGAGAGGTATGCACAATTACATAAACTCCTTTCATTCAGAGTTCACTGCCCACTAAGTGACCAGGGAGAACAATGGAGGCAGCACAAATGATCTGTCACCGCGTATCCTCAGGGCGTCCACATACACACACACACAAGCCCTGTCACAACAAATGGCTGTCAGACAATGGGACGAGCCATTAGTGCATTCCACCCCCGACCGCTGGCCTGCTTAACATTCCCCGTGAAGGCCCTAGAGGCCTGAGCACCTGTGGGAAAATCTGCTTAGAGAAGCTGCTTTTCCTGGCCGAGCCGCTGCATCTGAAACCTCTTCGGGAAGCACCCCGCCGAGCAGCTGCTTGGCTGTACGTCGTCCTTGTAAATAAACTTGCCTAACATTCTCCCGCGGACGCGGAATGAGCCGTGGCATGCCAGCCACACCTGAGGAAAACAATGAGACGCTACTCACATGTCTGTAGCCCAGGGAAATGTCCCCAGACACGTCTCCCATCACCGCTGCACATCCGGCCGGACAGTACTTCCTACACGGGACGAGAACAAAGAGAAAGATCTGCTTACAGCACGTCAGTTAATTATAGCCGACGGCTATAATTATGAGATTCCATATATAGTGAGATTCCAAAATTATTAGCATCAATGGAATGAGACATAGTCTGGAAAACTGTGACTATTACCTAGAGTTACTTTTTTTTTATTATGTAATGTCTTGTAGCATGGATATATTTCAATTGAATAGCTGTAGAGAGGTCTGGGCAATACATATTGAATATTCTCAATATATCCACTATATTTATGTATTTATTCATGTATATTTGTGCTTTTGTGATGATTTAAATGCAATTTTACTTTTATTTACCTAAAGAGTGGTTTCACATTCCTCATTCCAATTATAAAAAATATTCTAAAATTAAATTCTGATTTATAATCATCAAATTTATAATAATATTAGTAATAATAATAATAATAATTGGGTCAAAGATGAGACGTCCCATTTTGGTGTTTGCAATTAAATTTACAAAACTGATTTTATATACATAGAAAGCATATTAAATGCAAATAAATTGTGTACTTTAATGCTTAAATAAAATAAATTAAATAAAATGTCAAAATATAGGTGAAATAATGTTCCATCGTCATTCAGCGTAACAGATATATTAATGTTAAAATGAAACAACATACTTCATACTTTTTCTAGATCTAAAAATGTTTTGTCTTTGACCCATATACACATTTTTATAAGGCTGAAAAAATATGAAGCTTTATCAGCCAGCTTGTGTAAGTGTAACATTTTCCAGGCTTCTCTATCCTGAAGACATACTCTCACCTGTACTTTGACACCGGGAAATGACTGCCTCTGTCCAAGCATGTCAGCAGCTCTGAGGAGGAAAGCAGAGGAGGCCACACAATGAGGGTAAAAATGGAGCAGATCAGAAGTGTCTCCACAAAGGAAACAGGCCCCCAACTCAACAACAAAAACAAGAACAACAGGACATGAGCATCACAACAGGATGAAGACCCACTTCGTGCACTTCCACGTATAGGATTGAAGCATTTACTTAGACATAAACCTCACTCACTCACATGACAAAGTCACAGACAATTACCATATATATATATATATATATATATAAATACATTAGCATTAATAATAACAATAGTTACAATAATTTACAGCGAGAATAAAAGTTACTCCTTCTTTCTTTGCGTGAACATTTGGGCGGTGTTATGCAAATCTTCCCACATAGTGTGGTAGATATGTGGGGGCGTGTTCGAACGAGCCGTTTTAGGTAGGTGTGGCTAACTCTTAACTTTTATAAAGAATATCTCTTTGGATTTGAGACTTTAGTCTTTGCAACTTTACAGATCTTCTTTATGCACCAAGAGCTTGTAACACTCTAAAGAGAAAGGAAAAAATGAAATCGCATCATATGACCCCTTTAAATGAAAATAACCTTTTAATTACCCTCACAAAATCAATGCTGTGACACGCATAAAGCTCGGCCAGCTTAGCTTTCACAAACAGGAAGAGATTTTACCATAATGCTAAGCCTTCAGAAAGGCCCTTAACTTGAGTTATAGCTCAAAGCCCAAGCACATGATTCTCTCCACATCAAACTATCCATTGCTGCTCGGTCAATCCTTTGCATAACCCAAATCTCCGACCTCGATTCGCTGGAGAGGTATGTACAATTACATAAACGCCTTTCATTCAGAGTTCACTGCCCACTAAGTGACCAGGGAGAACAATGGAGGCAGCACAAATGATCTGTCACCGCGTATCCTCAGGGCGTCCACATACCATCGGCATTAGGCCTATTTCTGAAAGAAATAATAAAATGCGACTTGTATTCGATCGTTTTTTTATATAGCCTACATGTAGCGTATTTTAACCATGCAGCAAACCTTTTTAAATATTTTGATAAATTACTGAAAAAAAATTAATAAATGACTTTTTAAACCGTTTAAATGATTGTATTAATCGGTCAAAAATTCTTACGACAAATGGCTGTCAGACAATGGGACGAGCCATTAGTGCATTCCACCCCCGACCGCTGGCCTGCTTAACATTCCCCGTGAAGGCCCTAGATCGGTCAAAAATTCTTACGGTCGGTTAACGGTTAAAATGAACATCCTTAGAAGCTACATATGTACAATGTTGTGTTAAGATGATTCACACTTTTCATTTTAAAGTAAGGGTACCTTTGTGGTTTTCTGTGGAGTATGAAAGCAGGAATCCTCTTCCAGAGATGTGCTGGCTGCTACGAAAGCGGACGGTCAGTTCGCTGGAGTCCGTGTGAATCGGTGCAGGCTTGGGCATCAGACCACCACAGTACTCCCAGGAAACTAGATGAAATGCAAGTGAATTTATTAAACTTTATGAAAATTTAACCCTAGATAAGGAATTAGATTCATATTGATTATTAGTAATATGAATGAAAATGAACATCCACCAAAACTGGGTTCAAAATTAACACCTGCCAAGTGCCAAATAAAAATATAAATAAAAGTATAAATAAATGGTTTAGAAGCCATTTATGAAACCAAAAAGGCAGAAATAGTGTGTTTCTGGAAAGTTTAAGACTTGTCTGCTGACTGAAGGATAACACCCCGAACACTGATGAGATTTTGATAAGCTCTGATGATTATCATGACAATTTAATCTGTAAAACATTATGACCGAACGGACCAAAGGGTCAACACACCGAGAGGTGTGAATGACAAAACTGTCAAACTCTGCACCAACACAAAGCTTTAGTCATCCAACGTCTCTCAACTGCTGTTTAAGAATCACTCAGAGAGGAATTCCAGCCATCCTGCTGCAGGACGCTTTGATCAGTGGATGCGGCTGAGGCTCGACTCAGACACCATAACAGTGTTTGTGGTTAAAGGGTTGGCTGGGGAGGAACCAGATATAGTGTGGGAAGATTCAGGTCTATCCACAGCAACAATTCTGGCTTCAATACAAACACCCAAAGCTCTGTTCTAACAAAACAACTTTTCAATCCATGCAAGAAAAGTATTCCTCCAATGTTAAAGATCCAAGGATCTACACAAAGGAGGGCAGTTCGTCTTTTCTGACCAGGATGACCAAGAAAGACCTCTGGTTCAGGGCTGAAAGATTATAGCCTAATAAGTCAGAACAGCCCATTCACCTCGAGTGAAGTGCTGCTATATCCTTTTCCTTCACCATCCATCATTCACAAAGCAGTAGGTGGGTACATTCATCACACAGAGATTCAGATGTAACCTGCAGTTCTTTTGGGATTTTGGAGAGAACGGGGACGCTCTAGATCAATTTCTCGTAGGGCTGGGCGATTTTTCCGATTAATTTGAATTTAATGTTTTGCCGCGATTTAATTTTTTTGAAATCGAGAAATCGCGATTTTGAATAGAAATATTGCCAAACGTTAAAATTAGACACTTTGACAATATGCCAATGATAACAATAAAGAGAAAACGATCCAACCGCATGTCGGCGCACGTGATTAACCGCTCACGTGTGACGCGCTCATATTACACAGAATGCGCTTTTGTGTTGACAAAGATGCGACGCAGGCAGTGGTCCATGATGTCATATACTAATAAAAATGGGTATTTGTTAAAAATTTATATCTTTATGTTGTTCCTCTGACAAGATATTATTACAGCATACCATAGCTTTACTGGTGTATAAATACCTCTACTTCAAATGTTTATCTAAACATAAAAATTGTCATATGGTGTGACTGTCCGGACTATGTGTGACCTTAATAATATAACCATATATCTCAGCAAAGTATAAATAATTGATAGATTTACAGTTTAAGTAACAGAATTAGACATTTTTAATGGACACAGAAAGTGTTGATGTCTGTGCGTGATTTTAAAGCAAGTTCTGGCTAAATACATTTTGTCCGTAAAATGGGCGTCATATGGTGTGACATTACAATCTGTATTTTGAACGGGCAATAATTTGGACATCATGCTTTTTTATTTTGAATGGCGAAGACGTGCTCACCCACAGACATTCACAGGTTCATTTTGAAGTATTAACAAAACAACAAAGCTAATTCTCTTCACGGAACTTATGTAATTACCCATTATACATTGTGATATAGCCTGGTTCCTTGGTCCGTAAGATCGGATTGCTTTCTCACTACAACCTAACCGCTCCAGAGTTCGTTTTCAATCGAGCCGAGAACACCTCGTTCAGGCGATCTCGGACCGATTGTTTTGGCGTGGATCAGAGCGCGATTGCCGTGTTCACATATGCCCAAACGAACCGAGCTAAGGGGGGAAACGCGCCAGGTTCCGAAACAACGGGCCAGGTGTAAAAGCACCCTTAGAATGTTGGAATGGATCAAACAAAAACCAGACACATTAAAGAGCAGCAAAACGGCATTTATTGTTGCATTTCTAGACTTTGTTTCATACCAAAAGTAACCTGCTCTGTCTTGTCTGTCAGTGCGTTGTCAGTTTCCTCTTTGCTCTGCGATGTATTTTTCACTGCGTGAGCACATGATGTGTAGCGTGAGAGCGCCATGGCTTGTCGGACGTAGTAACAGTAACGAAAGGGGATGAGTCTTTGCGAAGGGTCAATCAAAAAAAGAATACACTTTATGCCAATATAGTGCAAAAACAGCAAGCTCATTCGAAAAGAAAAATAGCAGAAATGGTTGATAACAAGTGACAATATCCTTTAGGAAACAGAATTGGCAACATTTCACCATAAACTCTGAAACATCCTCTGACACACTGATTTCTGTGGTTTCCTCCTGCTTTACAGTAAACTTATCAATGTGTGACTGGTGCCGACTCATGACAGCATTCTGATTTACAGCGCTTTACTCAGGTTTACTCACAGTAATGTGATCTAGAGGAGTTTAAACTGACTAAAGAGCATATGATCAACTATATCACAATACGACTGCACAAGTACAACCAGACTCAAATTAGATTTCTAAATACAGCAGTCTTTCCTACAGTCTTTCCGGTTCAGCCCCACACAGCAACAATTGGCTCAACCAATGGTATCAGTTTGGGGCAGGACTGTATCTGTTTTTCCAACCAACGGAGGTTTGGGAAACCTGTTTGAAAATAATCATTAGGTTTGGTGCCACACTTCAATTTTAAATTAAAATGCAGCTGTCAAAATGTCCTTTACTCTAATATTCCTGAGCAGCAAGACAGTTCATCTTCTTGAGAAATGCACTAAAGCTTCAAGAAAACCACTAAGACAAAAACAACTTATTCCACCACATTTTTTTCATTAATCAAACAAGAAAGCCCTGATACACTGACAAAAGATGAAGACATCAAAACAAGAAGCTGTACCACCATTCGCCACTGAGAACATCTGGTTTTCATATATTGTTTGACCCCAATGGAGGATCTAGTGACCACTAGGGAATAACTAGATAATGGCTGAGAAAACAACATTATGTAAGCACCATGTACAACACATGAATGATTCAAACAGCTCACCCATTTCTGCCCCATACGATCCTTTCAGAACCTTCAAATAGTCAGTCTCACAGTCCTTCTTCTCCATGTTCAGGTCTCCAAACTTGAGGACAATAGTGTGGCCAATGGGTACGCGGATTCGCCATTCACACCAGGAGTTGTTGGGGTAAGTTCCTGGGTAGTTCTTGGAGGACAGGACACCACTCTCTTGGCCAAGGACATAATGACCACAGCCATCATCTGTAAAAGAAAAACGAGAGTTTGTTGTAATAAAGAATGCTGAATTCAGACCCAGGAGGAACAAGACTAACACTCAATATTTAGTATGCAAAGTGTATTTTTTCATGCTCAAATTAGAGACAATCATTGACTGTGTTTACATGTACAACAGATCAGTATTTAAAAAAAAAAACATTACAATTCAAAAGTTTGAGGTCAGAAAGATTTGTATATTAAGAAATCACTTATAGCAAGGATGCATTAAATTGATCAAAAGTGACAGTAAAGACATTTACAGAACAATTCATTTCAATTAAATGCTGTTTGTCAGAACTTTCCATTCATCAAAGGATCTTGAAAATGATGCATCATGGTTTCCACAAAAATACTATGCAGCACAACTGTTTTCAACATTGATAATAATAAGAAATGTTTCTTGAGCAGCAAATCAGCATTAGGGGCTTTGACAATATCAAGACGATTATTATTATTATTATCAGGCTAGTATTATTATCTAATTAATATTAGGGCTTATTTGTTTGATCATGTTTCTTTTTACTGATTTTTACAATGTTGCGCATTATAACCATTCACATACAATTCTGTTGAGTTTAAGAATGCAATAGCCAATCAGAGGCGTTCAGATGAGTCATCGCTGAAACAGCAGAGTTTTGTTGTTCAGTGTGCGCGCTGCTGACTTAAAAGGCTTCGCTTAAAAGACTTAGGCTATTTCAAAAACATAAAAATTTCACTCACCCAAACTGAAAGTCAAAGAAATCACCTTAAATTAAAGCTTTTAAAGCTCATTCCTTAATTTTAAAAGACAACATAATATTGATTCAAGCCCCAGACTCATTAAACTCTTGTAGATACCAAAACAGCAATCCAATCTATTATGTAACAGCAAGACTCCAAATGCACAAGAATGACTGATTCTGTTGCAACAAAAGATTACATGAAACCAAACAAGCCAATGCACGCCAATGCAATGCAATGCAACCTAATGTAAACCAAATAATATTATATTAGCCAGCAGAAAGTTTAATTTACAGAGTGGTTCAACATGTACATGCCCCTAAGACAAGTCAAAACACCAGAAGAAGCCTCTACTTAGATCGAAGTATAAGTTTTGTAATTAAAAGTTGATACAGCACCCTTATTAGAGAAATACATTGTTCCTCACATATGCTCACTGATCAGTGACAAAGGTGGTGTTAGAAACCGTCAGCTGCCAGACACAAGTCTTATGGATGATCCCAGGGCGAAGAGCTCCCACGCTGAGTATTTGAGCATTTGTGCAAGTACTGTCAAGAATGTTACTGTTCACTGATATGTTAAGGCTCCGTTATGCCACTGTCTCCCACAGTAAAGGCACTCACACCTGTGATGGCACCATCAACTCCTTTCCTTCCAGACAGCTGAGTCTCCAGCAGCCACGCAGGAACTTGGCGTTGATGTATGCGCATAACAGACTCTGAGACCCCAGAGTTTCGTGACATCGACGGCATTCTTAAATGACACTAGGAATGAAACGGGACGAATGCTATAAATAGCTCCGGTGTGTTTCTAAGGGAACATTCACCCGCACTAACCAGAAGTGCTTTCTTTGACCTTAGCTAGTATTACGTCAGTGCTAAATACTGGCGGACACACAGTGGCCTTTGTGGTGGCGTCTGAACTCCATCCAGATGTAGGGTTGGGTCGGTGCAAGAAAACTAATGGACGGAAACCTTAGGGCAGGTGGTGGAGGAATGACATCACATGTTAATCATGGCCATGCAAACAAATTAAAATCTACAACTGCACATTTAAGGCAAGACAGCCCAAGTGAACAGGGTAAAAAAACATTTTTGTATTACAAGCTTTCTGAAATGTTATGTTTGAGACTATATTAATTAAATATGCACTAATTTTCATATATTTACAGAAAAGAAATCTGAACACTGGATAAAGCCAGGTTCAAAATTTGTTTCATTTTGTTGACATATTAGAGGCAATGGTTTTTACTGAGGCGATATATATCTTTTTATATCTCAGAATCAGAAAATACTGTCATAAGCCAGAAAAATATAAACTTTCACCACGTTTTTAGTTATAAAATGTTAAAAATGAACAAACTGCTCTGTAAAAACCTTCAGAATATATAAAAATATAAAAATTCTGTCTCAGTGCATGAGAAAAGAGCCCTTAAATATATGTACAGTAATTGGAATATACACAAGCAATCAGATAAAGCTCAATAAAATACTTAAGTGTATTTTGGATGTTTTCTTTAAACTAGTTTGAAACAACCCGTCATGAAAAGCCAAATCTCAAAATTGACCAATTCATGAAAAACAATGTTTTAGCCTGTAGTGTCTTGCCTTGAAGAATATTCAAGATTATTTATTAAAAAGGAGTCAACAATAACATTTATTTAAAATGACCAAAAGCGGTTTTAGCTCTTTTTTCCATTCATTCCAACAGAGAAGAACACAACAGAGCTTCAAAACCTGCTCTTTCAGCATGTTAAGGAACACCTGGCCATCGTCTGCCCCAGGGTGGAAGACAAATATTCACAACAGAGAGAGTTCTGCATGTACAGACAATTCGACTGTCTCCTAACATGCACCAAATAAGGGTTCACACACTAGTTGAGGATATTCTATTTAGCCTGTGATTTTGCAGCAATGCCGTAGAACAACTCCAAAGAAACTTTCAGTGAACAGTTCTTAAAAGAACCATTTTTTTTCTTATGTGAAGAGCATTTTATTAATCTAAACACCTTTTTCACTATAAAGAACCTTTTGTGCAATGGAAAGCTTCCATTGATGTTAAACGCTCTTCATGGAACCATTGACGCCAATAAAGAACATTTATATTTAAGAGTGTACAATCAAAAACATGATGCTTGGCAAGAATACTGCCAGTATTTATGTTAAAGCAATAGTTCTAGGATAACTTACTATAATACAAAAATAAATAACACGTCAAGGGGAGTGATACCATACAGTAAAGAAGTACTCTCTTATCCATCCAATTAGACCTTGTGGGTACTAGAGTTTTCAAGAGTAAAACAAAATTCAAAAAGGTAACAAAAGTGGACTGCTTTAGTGAGTGAACTAAATCATTAAGCATTCCTGCAGCTTAAACAGTAGAGCAATGCCAATGTCATGGGTTTGATTCCAATAAGATTTATACCTTTAAAAGGATAGTTCACAAAAAAAAAAAAAAAACATCTCTCAGTTTGCTCACCGTCATGTCGTTTCAAACTCTTAAGAATTTAATTCATCTTAGAAACAAAGATATTTTTAATGAAACCTGAGAGGTTTCTGTCCCTCCACTTAAAGTCAAGGTAACCAAACTTTAAAAGATTCAATAAGGTTATAAATCTGTTCATCACATTAAGGAATTGTATCTCTTCACAAAACTCGAATCAAAGCGCTCAATTCATGTGGACTCATTTTATGACGCTATTATAACCTTTTCCAGATCTTTTAAGTTTTTGCAACCTTGTCTTTCAATGGAGGTACAAATTCTATGAAACCTCTCAGGTTTCATTAAACATCTGTGTTTCGAAGATGAACCAAAGTCTTATGGGTTCGGAACGTCATATGGATAAGTAAATCATAACTTTATTTTGGGGTGAACTAACCCTTTAAATGAGAGCTTCTGCAAATGCATGAAGATAAATCAACCAATTCATTGGAAAGATCAGACTCAGAGTGATTCATTCCCAAATCAGACATACATGCTTCTCTCATGAAACTGCCACGGAGAGCTAGTGCAGATGTCAAGGTGTTCAGTGACAAATTATTTATATTTCGGTCTGTTTAGGTAATATATGGTTTAAAAAACATGGAATATAGTGCACGAGTCATATGGATACTTTTATATGTTGCTTCAAAGCTTGAAAACCTCAATCAACCAGTAAAACTCTTCAAAATTTCTCTATTTGTGAACCACGAAAGAAAGTAATAACGGTTCCGAGAGTAAATACCAGCATTTTCACTTTTGGCTGTACTATTCCTTTAACAATGAAAGGTTTCTCCAGTTGTTTTGTCTCAATGTGTGCACAGTAAGCTACTTTGGATAAGGTCATATGCAGAATAATAACAAATATCCCAGCAGTAAAAAAAAAAAAAGACCTCAGTGCAGCAATGAAAGTTATGGGTTTCCAGATGCTGCTTTGACCATCCAGGCACTCTGACTGCAATCCAGTTCCATTGTGAGAGTGATTTGAGGGAAAGTTGTCCTCATGGACAGACTGCGCCAGCATGTTGTGTCAACTGCTGCTACAACACAGTCAGCACATGTTCTAATGACACCAAATATCTTACCTACTACGTATAAGGATATCAACTTTTTAGGTATTAAATCTCCAGGTTTACGAGTTGGAAGCAATTCTACAGTTTCATGGAGAAACATGCAACACGACACTGTTCCTGAACACAAATTCTAAGACAGCATGTACGCGAAACAAACATATGTCCCGGTTTAAACTGTAATCCAAGACTATTTCTAAAATGATAAATCAAACTCACAGAGCTCAAGAGTTTACAGGATCAATCTGGAGCTCGTGTAACAAAGTTTGAAACATTATATCTCCTCAGAACAAGCTGTGCGTTTACTTGTAATGATATAAAAGCACAAATGCACGCTACATGCAAACAACTACACAAAGTCCTCCACCAGTAACCTCTGACGCCTCAGCAAACTGCCCCTTTTGTTTCCGATCATCTGCCGTGTTTTTGTTCACTTACCCGGTTTTTCGGCGAGCACGAGCGGGTGAATTGAATAGAAGAGAATCAGTCCATGCAGTAATGTGTTTCCAGACATCTCCACTTAAAACCGCTGCGAGTGAGAGTAAAACGCGAGGGAGCATTGGAGAAGCGTCACGGGAGCATGTTTACCGGGAGAAACTCGTGTACGTGTGTCCGCGCGGATCCCCAAACGCTTTGAATGAACTCTTCTTCCGTGTTTCTCCCACAGGCGGCACCAAGCGGTTACTAGACCAGTCTTACGGGTCTGTCTTGTGTCAGGCGGTTAGTAGCCTATAGTAGCCTAGTATAGATACGGAGTATGGTATGGATACAAAGTGATACTTAAAGGAGATATATAAGCGATACATAAACGGCATTTCTCCAACTTCAGGCACTTTTATGTCTCAAGACAGAAAAGAAAAATATTTTAATTACACTATTAGATTTCAACGTTTTATTTTTGTTATAACCTACGTCACATTTTCCCCTATGTTGGTATGTTATAATTTATGTTTTTTGTGTGTGCTATTTTTCAAATGTTTTAACCTTGTCCCCCAGACCCAGAATTTTAATCGTAAAAAACGAAATTTGTAACAAATTTTACATTTTAAAAAATCAATTAAACTATAAGAAATATATATATATATGTGTGTGTGTTTTTTTTTTATTAAACACTTGCTTACGGAATACAAAAGTGAAAAAACATATGCCAAGGAAAAGAGCCAGGGGTTCAAGGATGGCAAAACAATACATAGCAATTAAAATTCAGAAGAAAGAGAGAAATAATAACAATAATAATAATAATAATAATAATAAAATAACAACAACAACAAAAAACGATTACATAAAAAAAAATTTAAACAGATCACATAGCAATAAACAAAACAATCTTTCCTACAAAACATAAAAATTATACAAAAATACCAAAAAGTGAGCATACACTCAAAGTTTTAGCTGCCTTTTTGTTACAGGAAGTAGACAAGGATTTAATATAGATCTTGATATTTTCTTGAAAGTGAGAAAAATGGGGGAACTATAAGAAATATTACATAACGTATTTATAAGTTTTGACGTCGTTTCCACCACAACCAACAATTCAAATATTAGTGTACTTGTACTAAGAAAGTGTGCATAGGCTACTTGAGATGAGGTGACATAGCCTATGTTATGGAGAAAACAAAGAAAAATCAAGGTAAATAATATATTTTTTATTGTGTGTCGCCTCCAAATCGAACTTTAATTTTGTCAGATAAAGCAAATTATGTCAAATAAGTGTGAAAATGTGATTTAATTGTGTGTATTTAGAATAGGGGAGCGCGGGGCACAAAGTAACGCGGGGTTAGTTGTAAGTTAACACACATGGTTTGAATATTTCCACACATGCCAGCATAACCAAATTAACAGTATTTATTAGTTACCATATCAACATTATATAGAAAAAAAAGTGTGCCAAAATTCAAAAATCTTTTGAAGATATCAATGAACATTTATTTTACCATAGTAAAATTAAAATTCTGGCTTAAGTACATTTTTCGTCTCTGTTTTTATTAATAATTTTAAATGAGACAAATCTGCTATTATTTTAATCTCCAATCTGTTATTTATCAGTTTAGATAGTTTTTTTAATGCTTCGCTAACTAGCAGAAGACAGCAACTGATTTAAACTCCAGTTGCGCAGACGGGGCAAAGAAAAACGTATACACTGTAATCATGAAACAAAGCGACATATTTGTACTAGACAAGTGTAAAATTACTGTGGATAAAAAAAATTATATTCTGAACCCCATGTGGATTTACACAAACTGAGAAAGTCAAAAAGTATTACTTTGTTTACATAACATAACATTTTAGCTATGAAATTAGCCTTAGCCAGACAAAACGGACATTTTATTTAGAAAATGTTAAAATGTCATTTGCAACAAGGAATGCTTAAGATATGGTGGATTGAAATATGGTTCATGACTTGGTTCAGTAACAGTTTTCCTGTGGTGGGTGTATACATTTTTAGACATTGTTAGAGGGCAAAGAAACGAGAGAGAGAGTCTGAAAAGCACGTTTTAGGAAAACTTCTAAACAGTCATCTGAATAAAAGCGTTATATGCTGTAATGCCAGGCAGTGACCGGTGGATTTCCAGTAACATATGTGACCCTGGACCACAAAACCAGTCATAAGTGTCAATTTAAAAATTGAGATGAAGCTGAATAAATAAGCTTTCCATTGATGTATGGTTTGTTAGGATAGGACAATATTTGGCCGGGATACAAAAATCTAAATATTTAGAAAATCGCCTTTAAAGTTGTCCAAATGAAGTCCTTAGCAATGCATATTTCTAGTCAAAAATTAAGTTTTAATATATTTACGGTAGGACATTTACAAAATATCTTCATGGAACATGATCTTTACTTAATATCTTAATGATTTTTGGCATAAAAGAAAAATCGATAATTTTGACCCATACAATGTATTTTTGGCTATTGCTACAAATATACCCCAGCGACTTAAGACTGGTTTTGTGCTCCAGGGTCACATATGGCCATTGATAGACTCCACAGCATATGACACATCATCTGTGCCAGGAGAGCACAGGCCTGTCTTTAACATCCTGGGCCATTAAGTTTTATTACTGTCATTATGAAAAACCCTGCAGACCGTCACTGTGCAAAGATCAGACGAATGATAATGTAGGTAAAAGGCTGATTTTTGCATGTTTTTGCTTTTGCATTTGATATAGCACAGCAAGTGCTATTGTAAATATACAAGCATATGTGTAAAATGTGTGTGTGTGTGTGTGTGTGTGTCGCCTTATACTTTTATTTAAAAAAAAATATAAATCCTTTTTATTTCTGCAGCCTTTGGACTCTTTCTTTGGACGCTCTCTGCTGGAGAGATATCAGTCTACAGGTCAGTACAATTATTTCATTTCATTTTGCAATTACGTTTTATTTTCAATCCAATAAATAAATAAATGCAGCATTATCTTCTCATTACCAGATTATATGTGTATGTATATACAGTATAATAAGGATCATCCTTTAATAAAAAATGGTCTTGTGAATTCAATTATAACCTACTGTATGCGTACAGTTTGTGATGTGTTAATAACAAAGAGTCACTGCTCCCAATGCTGCAGTAATCATGGCATGAGAATAACTAGTTTTACTAAAAATGTTTATTGGTTATGATGGAAGTGAGAATCTTAATTTTCTTGAAATTCTGTGCCAGTTAAAAAAAAAAAAAACCTGTATAGCACTTAAACAAATCATAATTTGATCTTTAAAATGACCAGAAATGCTGTTTTTTAATTGCTTTCCCGGTATGCTACAATACTGATCACTACATATGTATATTTTGCCACCCAGTGAAATCTAGTATTAAACGCTAGATGGTGCTGTTGGATATATTTATTTGACAACTAACCAATTCTGAAATCTTTTAATGGAGTTTAAAGCAGTTAAGAGTATTATATAATTGAAAGTAATTGTAAACAGTGCAACAGTGATGTTTGACTGTCTGTTGTAGTAATTAAAACATATATAATTATGCCAAATCTGATTTAGCCTACAGATGAATGCAGGTACTATGTACCTGAGATGTTGGACAGAAAATTGTACAATGAGAGGATTATGTGCAATAAAAATTTGAGTACTAATGGCTCAGATCATTTTGGCACCTTTATGGTCATAAGCACAAGTGCAGCTCATAACTGAATCATCTCAGACAGATGGTTTGAATGAAGAGCTGTAATGTAATACAGAGACTGTACAGCATTGTCTCATTCACACTTGGGTTACTACACCTGTCTGAACAGGGCAGAAACATCTTACTGTCAATAATTAAAATGGTTACTCTAAAATGTTACTGAAATGTATTAAAGATCTTTTTCTTTCTTTCTTTCTTTCTTTCTTAAAGGTCCCCTGAAATGCTTAGAAACACGCAGTGTTACTCTATGTGTTGACGTCATTTTAACTGAAACAGGAAGACAGGGCGGGACATATCAAGCAGCCCCGCCCCTTTTTAAAATAGCCAATAGCGTTCGTTTATATCACAGCTTGGGCTAGAGCCGTTCAGAGCCGTTGAGCTCCGTAAAGCCCCATTTGACAGGGTATGCCAGCCACAATCTCATCCATATTGCTATAAAATATAGCATTCTGTGTAGAATTCAAATAGCTCCGATACATTTTGTGGTCTGCGCCGATTCGCGCATGTGATCTCGTGTCTATCGTGTCTCTGGACCGGAGCAGAGTGTGTGTGCGCACGTCACTGTTTTGGAGCACACTGCCTTATAGATAACCTTAAGACTAACATATTGATGCTAACACCCAAACAACTTTAATTTTGATTTCATGGGTACTTTAAGCACAATGGAGAAGCTAGAAGAAAATAAGTTAATTTACTATCAACAAAAATTTAGTAAAGTAAATCGTCTGGAAACTAACTATTAATTATTATATAATGTAATATAATAAAATATAATAATATATAAGTACTTATTAATTGATAAAATAAGCTAAACATTTTTATTTATTGTGCATCATCTCCAAATCGAGCCTTAATTTTGTCAAACAATGCAAATTTTTTCAAGTAAGTGTTAAAAAATGCAAATATTATTTAATTGTGTGTATTTAGGATACATATAATGAGAGCTATGATAGTAAGACAAAATGGGCATTTATTAAAAAATGTTTAATATATCATTTACAGAATGAATGATAAATTAAGGTGGTTGATTGAGATTGAGATATGGCTCATGACTTTGACAAAAATGACCACAATGACAGCGTTCTTTATAATAATATAATATAATATAATATAATATTAAATAACCAGATATTAATGCAAGATTGATACAGGTTCTGTAGTGATCCAGCTTTAAAAAAACATGCATTTATGGCCAATGTAATTAAAATATGAATGTCAACATATATTTATTGATACTTAAGAAGTTTAGCCCAGTAGATAGCTTTGTTCAACATTTCCTTTTAAATGTACAGATTAAATAATAATGCACCTTTAATGATGTATGAAAAAAGGACTTCATAACAGAGGCTTTCTGTTTGCCTGCTAACACACTCTGCAAGTAACACACTGTGCCAGTAACACCAAACCCGTATATTTCGGTATACACTCCTGCAGAGCTCAACGGCTCAATCAATATCTGACTTCTTACATTTCTTTCATTTCTGCAGAGAAATCATACGGGACCTCCTCTGGAGAATGACATCATGAAAAAATGCTGTAGATTTATTTATCAATGACAACAAAT